AGAGAGAGAGAGAGAGAGAGAGAGAGTAGGGGAAACGTCGAGTTCATCGCCAAACATAGCCTCTGGTGTGGGTAGTAATGGGTTGTCAAACATACCACACAATTGCTGCACAATTTGCACAAATTTCTTACGTAACGAGTATTTAAACAACTCAAGAAGTGATTGAAATGTGCAAATATTTGTCGTTTAATCCCCACTAATAGACAACATTGAAAATATAGTGATAACAAAAAATGCAAACTAAGACAATATCGTTTAAATGATGAGGCATTTCATGGGATCTATTAGTGACAGCCCATACGATATGATGCCTTCAGACATCACCAACCAATTGATACCTAACGAGAAGAGCACATAAATTAATTGCATAAAAAATTAATGATAATTAAAACTTTTCGCCTGAAGTGCTGAACAGCAAAACTATTTGTCTCACAACAAGTTAAGCACTTCTCTCTCTCTCTCTCTCTCTCAAACTTTGGTTACGAAAAGTATTTCAAATATTTGCCGATTTATTTGTTTAGTAAACATTTTTATACTTTTAAAAATCAAACACGAAATTAAAATAACACTTATATTTAGAAAATGAAATTTATTTTTCAAAAATATTTCAATATTTCATTAATAGAAAAGTCATCAAAAAATACTGATATATTCGTCGCGAATATAAAACATATTTTACAACAAAAACATTATAACTTTGATAACAATTATCAAAATAATTTCAAAAATCAATTGTAAAACACAATAAGATTTCATCATTTCTTATACTATTTATATAAAAATTAATTCAAAAATATAATAATAATTATAATAAATATTTCTTATATAAAAATATTGTGTAAAAACTTATCTAAAAATAGACATTTATGGCAATAAATGCATTGTAAATATGGATTAAATATGGAATTCTTTAAGTGGAATGGCTTTAAGTAATTATTTAATTAAAAATAATTATAATTAATAATAAAATAAAACATAACATAATTGACAACAAAACTAAACCATCGGTTCCCTGACATCGCAGTCAACACACAGATAAACACACACCAGACCTGATCCCTAACCATAACAATCATTACACACACACAAAACCAGACAAATATCTGCCACGAAATCAATCGCTTGAATACCGGAGAGAGAAAAGTTATAAAAAACACAAACATTTCGCACTCGTTGTAAAAATATAAACAAAATCTGAGATTAAATACTAAATCAATGATAAAAAATACTAATGAAATAATAAACTCCTATAAAATTACGCTAATTATCGGCTCAATAGTGTTTTAATAGCGGTTTCGCTCAACGACTCAATAATAGACTTTTCATCGCCGGAGTCGACCATTGATTCCCGGATAGCGTTGACCCGTAGGGCGTCCGACACGTGCTTCGGTCGGGCGATGTCCACACCTCTGACCCGGAGCTCGTTCTCCAGGTATGAGATGTACTGACAGAAGGCTGTGGTCGATGGCTGACGACCACCGGTGCCCACACCTCCGCCTCCGGACACACCGTTTGGCGTTAATAGTGTGGGCGTTGAGCTACCGGTGCCGCCGTTCGTGTCCAACAACACGCATAACTATAGGTAGATGGCATTTGGTCTCCAATTCTTCGCACTTCAGTTCCAGTGCTTTGGCGTAGAGTTGGCACACATTGAAGACATCAATGGATTGTATGATAAACTGAGAGCACAGACTCGCCAGCGATTCTTCGCCGTAAATGTTGGCCAGAGTTAGCAATTGGTCGACAAAATCGGCGCCGATTTCAACACTATTTGTGTATAAGTAGTGAATAAATGCCAAAAAACTTTTATATGAATACTGTTTGACACGAATCTCTTTGCTGTCGGCGTCCATATATTTCTGGCATTTTTCCCAAATCTTTTTGTTTCTTATCCTAAGTATAGTTTTGTGGCCATAAATGAGTTGATCCCTAAACCGGAACACAATGTCATAGTCTTCGGGATTATTGAAAGATTGGCACAGATTTTGCTGAAAGACTGTGGCGTCTAATGAAGACATGAGTGATATATCGGAGTCACAAAGTGATGATTGTTTGAAAACATTGAGCTCAATATCATTGATGACAACCGATGATTGGTCGAGAGACAAATCCATTGTCCGCTTCTGTGGGATCACTGATTTGTCTGAATCGGTGGACACAATGTCTGAACATTCAATTGTCAATTGATTCAATGTACAGACTATGGCTTTGTAAGTGATTTTAGCTGAAAACTTGACAAACAATTCAAACATAGATTTGATGCTATTTTTGTCCACTTTTTGCGGTCTAAGTATTGAATTTCGGTCGCATTGACCCCATATATAGTACTCGTCGTCGACGGTAAATCCGATAGATATGTGACAAAAACATTTGGCAATAATGTCTTTGAATCTGATCTGATCCGAGACTTTAAAGGGCAGACACTGATCATGTGTCGTACCATTGCCTACCTGTCCGTCTGAGTTTTTGCCAAACGCATAGACCTCTCCATCGGTGGTCAATAGGAGGGAGTGATCGGAACCGCACACGACTTTAGCCATACGGGGAATAAAGTCTAAGAGTTTTGGGCGAATTGTATGTAAAATAAAGTCATTTTTATTTATCTCCATCTCTCGACCCAACTGTCCGTATCTGTTATTACCCCACGTGAAGACTCGGCCCGTGTCTGTCAACGCCATTGAGTGGGTGTTACCGCACGAAACGGCGGCTATTCTGTGGCCAAATGTGATCCGTGTGGGGAAAAACCGGTGCTGAACAGTGCTGTCACCCAATTGGCCGCATGTGTTGCGACCCCAGCCGTACACACGTCCGCATTTGGTCACAGCCAGCGTGAAGTGATTGGACGCACAAATACTGGCCACTCGTTTGTCCGTCAAGTCTGCAATTAGTTGTGGTGTGGATTCGGTGTCCGTATACCCGACGCCCAGTTGACCGAAATCGTTGGCACCCCATGAATAGCACTTCCCATCGGCGGTCTGTCCGATACAAAACTGGTGCCCGGAGTGGATATCTGTCAAACACTTGCCGCTCAGGTATGGGTTAAGTGTGGGTCGATGTATGTTGCGGTAGTCGGCGCCCAATCCCAGACACCCGTTACTATTTTTGCCAAAACCATACACTTTATCCTCGTTTGTCACATATATGATGGATGTGTTGCCGAAAATGCATAGTATCTTCAGATTATGGTATTCCTCTGATGTTAAGTGTTTGGATATCATGTGAAATGTCTTATAATCTAATAATTGATCCATTGGTTTGTGGGATGATTGAAGACAACGTGCTTTTATTAATAGAAATACTGTTAGCAACACTTTTATGTTTTTAGGTTAATAATAAATGTGGTTTTTATTATTATTATTCTTACTTATGCAGTATAGTTCAGTTATTTATAAAGTAACCCTGGTGATTAATAGTGAGTAACCCTAGAACAAGCAATTTAATATTAGACGAATCTTACATGCTATTAGAATATAGTAGTATTGTTTTATAATTCTGGTCCAATGTATACCAATTTGTTTTTATAATCATTAGTAACTATCAATGTTACATTACATTAATTATTTATATTATTAGTTTATTAATTTTTTTACAATTAAAATATCATTAGAAAATTCTATTATGCTAATTAATTTATCATTATATCTGATGTGCAATAAATTATTATTACGTACTAGCGGAAATTTTTTTAATTATTTCTATTGTTAAATTAATTGTAAAATATATTCAATGATATATCATTTTACCACAAGATTATTAGTATAATCAAATAATTACATTAACATTATTATTAACAATGAAATTATAACTTATAATTTTTAAATAGTATTACATAAAAACTGCAGTTTAAATCATAATGAATAACAATCATGTTTTAATACATAATCAATATTTATTTGATTCTAATTTCATACCAAGGGGAAATTTCACTGTCTCATGGCGATACATGGTATGTTTTTTTGGTTACAACTTTACTATAATAATTAATTTTTATTATATAAGAACTTTTAAAAAATAGATAATTAAGTTTTGTTAGTAAGCTGGTTTAAATGTAAATTTTTTAATATTCAACCTAGAATGAACGTGATCCAATTAAAATAGATGGTATTTATTTTTACCTTTTGCACGAACTCGTAAAGCGTACAAAATTCGGGTATAAAATAATCATATATTGCAAAACAATAATTTAATGACAATTACCATCTACTTAAATATTACATTATAATTTAACCAGTGCCATTATAGTACCAATGAACGGGAGTGGTAATTTTAACATATCAAACAATTTTATCAAGACTGAACTTCTGGCAAAATACGTTTACAATAAGGTAATTATTGATATTCTATATAACTAATGTATATAATTAAGTGTCAAAATTATAATTTATTTAATGTTCATTTAATAAAATTATAAAAATAATGTGAATAGTTGGTGGACGTCGGTCTGGACATCATTTCTTGGCACCATATGATGCCTACATTCGCACACTTAATGCTATACCGTATTAACCCATCGATTGCTGTTTTGTGCGGCTATTATCCAAACACTCAATCCAATCAATTTGACGCTCTCTTTCATATATTCGACAAATGGGTATTGGTTTTAAAATAACAAATTTATCATATTTTTTTAGTAATTGTTAAATTATTAAATATTATTTATTATATATTATATATTAACTGTTGAAATCATTTTATTAAAAGTTTTGGATATTTCTGGTTATAACAAGTTTATTATGTTCACTGGTATTGTCGGTGGAAGTGATTAATTATTGCAAACGGAACCTAATGTATTATAAATTATAAAATACTTACAACTGTACCTGTTACAATAAATTTGTTTTTATCGTCATTAATTATGATTTAAACTAGGATTGTCTATGATCAAATTAAATATATAATCTATGATCAAATGTGGTTTACATTAAACGCATACTTTGGCTATGGTAAAGTGTAAATGAATTTATTAATCTTAAATTAATCTAATTGTATAATTAGCTGTTAGGGTTAAATACTGGTCGCATAGATATGTGTTAATAATAAGTCTATTATTTTTGGCCAAATTTTTGATACTAAATATTTGTAATCAAATGATTTTGTCGATCACTATTAAAAACCCATACGAAGTGATCGACACTTTGGCTGAATTGGATGCGAGACCACAATTGCGGCCAATTGTCTCATTGAGCATTGCCAAATACCAGGACCTCATGGTAAGTATTGCCATAATGCATGATGGCACAATTTTAATAAATGTGTAAATAAATATTTAAGTAAATAATTTATTAAACTATTAATTATAGTTAAATAATTTACATTCATTATTACAATGCAGTCAATGGGCACTCGTATTGAGAAGAAAATATTGACCAGGAATAGAAATGAGCGTGATAATTTAATAGGATCGAAGAATATGTTATATTATAATCAAATCGCACGCATAGTGGCGGACATACGAGAGAGACGGACACATGTGCTCATAGGAACGGGCGGTGCGATTAGCATTCTGGAGAAGGCTATCAATACGGGCCCTAAGAGTGTGCATATGATGGCCGATAAGGGCTACTATCGGTGCAACGGTTGGATTGTCCGCAAGTCTATTAATCAGTTAATAATCAAGACATTTGATGAAATGTACCATGATAGTATTTATTCAATAATCATATAATTTAATTAATTATGAGTTTAAGCCTAATAATAAATGCTCAAATCATTATAAAAAAAACTACACTAAACTAGGGCTTAATTATTTAAAAATTATTATGATAATTATTAGATTACATTTTGCCATTAATTTTTAATAATATTTTATCACATATAAAGTACCAAAACGTTAACCGAGAGTGGTTTACTTGACTACTGGATGTACTCCAGAACTGGTATTATGTTTAATAAACTACTGATGAAACAACCCGTCGACACCATTGCCACCGACGCCAGCAAAACAAACCTAATGAAATTGGATGCAATCAAGATTGCCCTTGGTCCTTATATTATAACCACACCATTTGCCATTCTAGGACTCGTTATGGAGTTTGTATATTATAAATATTACTAATTATCCCATAATTGTGATGATAAGTATAGTTTATGATTACGATAATTTATCAGAATTATGTATCAATATACCGTAGCACCATAATGAAGTATTTTGCATTTAGATACCAAGTGCTATTTATAAATCAAATCAATTGTTAAAAATTAATTTTATTAATTATATTAATTTATTTTCAATGGTGTACTAATTATTTAGATTTATGAATGTATAAAAACAATTTGATCATTATGGTAATTATATTCTACTACAACATTACTTTTCTAAATAATAATGTTGCTAAATAATGCATATTTAAGATTTCGCTGTTGCTATCAATTAAATAAATTAGAATCTAAATGCACAAATTTGCTATATTTATAATAAGATATTAATACCTAATTATGATCAAGGTGAGGTAAAATATTAGGTCCTACCGAGACTCGAACTCGGATCGCTGGATTCAGAGTCCAGAGTGCTGACCATTACACCATAGAACCTGTATATGTAATCTTGGGGTTGATTGTAATTCAATTAATTTACAAAATAAATATAACAAAAATATTGTAATTGCATTTAATTTCAATATGGGTTAATTTAATTTGTAAGTAAATAAAAAATTATAATGAAAGTATCTGAGGTCCTACCGAGACTCGAACTCGGATCGCTGGATTCAAAGTCCAGAGTGCTGACCATTACACCATAGAACCGGTATATGTAATGCTGCGGCTGATTGTAATTCAATTAATTTATAAAATAAATATGGTAAAAGTAAAATCACTTTAGTCAATTTCCATATGGGTTAATTTAATTTTAATTAAATAAAAAATTATGGTAAAATGATCTAAGGTTCTACCGAGACTCGAACTCGGATCGCTGGATTCAAAGTCCAGAGTGCTGACCATTACACCATAGAACCGGTATGTTTAAGTGTACGGCAGATAGTAACTCGATTATGTTTTTTTTAATAAATTCACTAAACATGTACATCAACTTTTCATTACCTTATTTGATTCCCATATAGTTTTGAAAGCACAGCAAAAATGTCAATTAATTATCAGTAATTGATAGTCAAAACACATCTGCGGTGAGAGAGAGTCTCGGTAGAACCTTAGATCATTTTACCATAATTTTTTATTTAATTAAAATTAA